TAGCTAAGTTTTGAATTATTTTTTAGTTTCCTTTTTTGACTATTTTTTTTAAATTTTTTGATTTTTCTAACGTTTCCTTTGTTAAAGTTCGTTTTTTTTTTCTAACGTTCTTTTTTTTTACTATTCTTAAATTTTTTGATTTTTCATTTCACTGCCCATTTTTACTTTTATTTTTGCTATTAGTCCTTTATTATTTAACGTTTTGATTTTCGTTTACGTTTTCTTTTCCTTTTTAAATTTATTTTCTTCCCGTGCCCTCCTCCCGGAGTTTCTCTATTTATTTTTCGTCTTTTACGTTTCGTGCCCGACTTTTTTTCTCCTCCTTTATTTATTACGTGTTAATTATTTCTCTGTTTTTCTTTTAAAACCCGTAAAGTTCGTTTCGTGTATATAGTATTTGTTTTTAAATTTTGTGTTTATTTTGTAATTCCTGTCCTTTTTTTCCCCTTGTTTAACGTTTTGTTTTTGGGTTAACCGTTTTTTTTTTAGCGGCAGCCATATTGTAAATTGTCACATTTTTAGTTTCGTATTTTATTTTGTATAGCGTTTTTCTTATTTTTCCGTTTATATCTTTTCGTTTTATTGTGTAATTTGTTGCTTTCTCGTCTGTCGTCCTTTTAATTATTTTTTTGTGAACTTTGTTCTCTTGTTCTCCTGTCTTACGTCCACTTGTTTTACGTTTTATCTGTTTAAATTTGTTTTGCTTTTAGGCAAAACTTGTTTCTTTTTTTGTCTTTTTAATTTTTTATACGTCCTTCTGTTTTATTTTTGTCTGTCGACCTTTAATTGTTAATTAAATTTGTTGTCTCGGTGTTAAGCGAAACTTTATTTACATTTTACCCCCCCACCCCAAAGTTTTTTTTTTATTTCCTATCGCCCCTCCCATTCTATTTTTTCGTATCTCCCCTTCCTTTTTCTCGTATCACCCCTCCCCTACCCTTTCCTTTTTGAAAATGGAAAAAAAATCAAGAACAGTGCCTTCCTTTTTAATTAAAAAAAAGTGGCCAATAATTCCTGACTGTAAAAAATCCACAAAAAAGCATTTGTTCTCGATTAAAAAACTACCACCGGATAAAAATAATACAAATGAGTACCCTTTTCTGGTTCCATCTAATGAGGAAATGGTGGATACTCTAAAAAAAAAGCAGCAGCATCTTCAGAGGATAAAAAGAAAGAAAATATTGAAACCAAGGAAACCAATGACCAATGCAACGTCGAGGAAAAAAAGAATGCAGAAGCCGGGGAATTGCCTTCTTGTTGGTCGACCCACCGAGTTGTGTGATCAATGTTGCGGAGTTCTTGGAGAGAGCCAAGAGTTACGCTCACCTTGTCGTGGAAGGTGGACTCTTGGAAGACGCCCAAGAATTACGAAAGATTGAGAAAAGAATTGTGTCGGTCTTTGTCGTGGACAAGCGCTCGCGCAAAATTTGTCGCTCGACAAAAGACACAGTGTTAAAATCACTGGAGTCCTGGGGGTTTAAGCCCCTCAGAATTGTGAAGGGAGCGAGATATTTCATGTGGGACGTATTGCTACCCACGCCGGAAGACTGTGTCGCCGCTTCAAGTCGTGACTTGATAACGGAAGATCTGATACTGCGCACAGAATATGAAGGGCGAAGAAGGACCAGTGTGGCAATATACGAGGTCCCTCCTCAGGTTATCGGGGAACACCTGGCTGCGTTCCTTTCGCAGTATGGCGAGATCCTGGGTGCTACTTGCGATAGCCTGAAAGGAGGGTGGAGTTTCGAAATTATGTTAAACGAACAGGCCTTCCGCTCCATCCCTAACTGTCTGGTAGTAGGGCGCTTGAAACTGCCGGTCATTGTGACCGGCCGCAAACCGGTACCTTGGAAGTGTGGAGAGACTGGTCACCTCTCCTCTTCCTGCCGAGAGAAGAAGGCCTCTGGAGTTCAAGCGCCAGCCGACCAAGATCCCCCTCTGACCGCGTCGTTACCTTCCGCCTCGCCTGTAATGGGCATGCCAGCTTCCGGCGCAGGTTCGGATAAACCACCGGTTGGCATAAAGGCCACATTACCCAAAGAGCCTTCTCCCGCTGCTAGTGCAATTGTGGAGAAGGGGGAGGGGGAATGGCTGGTTGCTGGTAAGGCCAGGGGGAAGCGCCAGACAGCGGGACCTCAGTCCAATGAAGCCCCAAGGGCAAAAGACATTTACAGCCCCACTCCTACTGTCAACGCGAAGGGCGATGCCCCGGCTTCTGATGCAACATTGAGAGAGAAACGACAAAAATATGACCCAGGATTTGCTAAATCGGAGAAGATAAAACAACTAAAAGAAAAATTGGACAAGGAGAGGCTATCTCAGTCCGAAAAAGCCACTCCCTCAACGTCATCTACCTTGTCCACAGCTGCGACTCCAAAACATCATTCTCCACAGAAACATTCCACCCCTTTCTCATCTCCCGTTAAAGCTGTTCCTCTCAGTAGAGATCCCAGTCCGTACAAAAAAAAACCCTCATCTACCCCTCGACATACTCCAAGTCCTTCCCCTATTAAAACCCATGAAATGCCCCCTCCCGCACCTAAAAGGCAGAGAAGTCCTGCCAAGGATACCAAGGAAAAAAAGAAAAAAACTTCTAAACATATCTTCAATACAGGGGAGGATACCTGTAGAATTTCCCCGGCCCAGGCTGAAAAGGCGAGAGACTATGGGAATCGAATAAAAGACTCTCAATAGGGCAGTACGCCGATAAGGACGTGGAAGACCCGCATAATTTCCCCAAGGCCCAGAGAGTTCTTACTGTAATAAGAACAGGATCTGGGTCTAGCCAAGCATGGGCCATGTTGGAGGAGGCGATTAGTTCTTATAAAATGTCTCCCCCGATTGCCATCACAGAGAGTGAAGATTTGAATCATCTGAAAAAATTTTGTGTAGGGAGGGTTCCAGTTTTAGTTCATCCCTCCCTTTACAGAGCTTTAAAACTGACATTTCCCTGGGATATAGGCGGTCTCTCCCAAGATGGCACCATCAAGAATGAGATGGGCCATGGGTCTATGGGAGAGACGGTCGGTATCCTTACCCCGACCATGTTCAAATCAGCGTCTCAACCCTAATTTGGTCTGATAATGGCTCTCTGGTTAGCAACTCTGAATGTCCGGGACCTGAGGTCGGAGTCTCGAAGGGTGAGGCTCGATCGCGATCTTCAGCGCCTCGGGGTGGATGTATGCTGTGTGCAGGAGACCCGTTTTTTATCTCGCGATCATGAGGACATTCTGTCTAAGAGGTTCGTCCTCTATTCAGCATGTTTTGATGGACGCTCGAGGGGTGTTTCCTGGCTGGTGAGCAAGTCTCTGGATGCGGTGTGTGCTCTTGTCTTCGCGGATCCGGCGGGCAGGCTTTGTGTGCTGGATGTTACCATAAAGGACAAGGCTCTTCGTCTCATTGGGGTTTATGCGCCCAATGACCATGCGCAGCGGCCTGGTTTGTTTCGGCGAATCGAGCCGTTTTTGACGACTTCTCGTTCGGTAGTTTTAGCGGGTGATTGGAATGACGTCCTTGATTCCGATATAGATCGTATAGGAAAAAAACCGGGTACTAACAATCCGGATGTGAAATCGTTTCGGGGCTTTATCGGCGGGTCTGATCTCGTCGATAAGTACCGAAATGAACACCCCCGGGAGGTAGTATGGACTTGGACTAGGAACGGCAGATACGGTGGTTAGCGCAAGCTACATCGACCGAGTTCTAGTTAAGAGAGTCGATGTAGGGCTCTTCGAATGTCCAACTTTCCATTTTATAGTTTACTCGGATCATAGGCTTGTCCGGGTTCGGGTAAACTTAGATAAGCCTAGGGTTAAGATGGCTGGCTACTGGAAATTGAACTCATCATTATTTGGTGAGCAAGATTTCCGGGACCAGCTTTTACTAATGTTACAGCGGGAATTGACGGGGGCTGTGGTTGGGAATAAGTGGTGGGACTCTTTGAAAGCTAAACTTAGGGCTTTTGCTGCTGATTTTAGCTCGTAGGGCAACTAGTCGGCATATCGCGAGCATCACATTGCCGGATAAGTGGACTGTGACTACAGACGCGGGCATTTGCGAGGCTTTTCGTGATTACTTTCAGTAGCTTTTTACCAGGGAGCCCGGTCTGAGCCCTGCTCAGTTCGATGCCTATTTAGCCGACTTTCCCTGCCTTTCCCTGTTCCATCTTCAAGCGAAATTTTTTTTAATTCCAAAAAAAATTTCGCTTGAAGATGGAATAGAGCTTATTTTAACTCAATTTAATTTAAATAATTTAAATAATTATATTGAAGTTTTCGGCTCTTGTTTTGAAACATGGGACTTCTTATGTCGCGATTTGGAATCATATTTTAAAATAAATAATTATATATATATATATATATATATATATATATATATATATATAATTGGTATACCCTTTTTAATATTATATGGCAGTATTATATAAGGGGGTTAATTAAGCTAAAGAATATATTTTACTTAAAAAATGGTAAGTGTAAAATTAAATGGCAGGGAGAGAAAATGGTAGTGCCAAATTATACAGGCTTTTAATTCGTCTACATTATAAAGTTTCTTCATATCTTGTACGTACCAAAATTAAACATAGTGTATGAAATAAATTGTCCTTCCGATGTAGGTTGCCATTTCTTTCTACGGTAGACCAGTTGCCATCCAAGGCTATAGAACCCAATCTGCCCAGCTATTTACTCATAGAAGAAGAGGATCCATACCTTTCCCAGGTGTATTACACGTAAGTGAATGTAATGAATTCGAACCCGGCTCTCCGATTCCTCAATCCGAGCCGCTATCCATTACTCCACAATGCCTCATAATTAACAAAGCATTATCCAAAAACGCAAGAAGATGATGAGAAGCTGTTGTTGGTATGGATGAATGAGAAAAGCAGCTACAAATTGATTCTGTGTCTGAAGATATGACATGTACAAAGGCAAGGCCAATGGACGTGGATCTTATCAGAAAAATACTAAGCACCTCTTCAGTCTATCACTCTGTATATCTGTATGTATATCTGTCTATCAACTGATCTGTCTGTCAGTTTTTTATCAACCTGTCTGCCTGTCGGTCTATCTATCAGTCTGTCTATCATCCTTGTCTATCTATCTATCTATCTATCTATCTATCTATCTATCTATCTATCTATCTATCTATTAGTCTGTCTATCTATCTCTCAGTCTGAATATGTGTCCATTTTCTCTATACTAGTCTGTCTATGTAAATTGATTTTATCCCTGGATCAATTGGATTCTTTATCAAATAAATGACTTAAATTTATTTACTTTTAATTCAATATTGACTTCAATGCATAAAATAAATTCTTAGGATTGGAGAAATTACTATTGCATAAAACTTTATTCTCATAATTTTGAAATAAAGATTTTTTCATTAAAACGGATTATATATAAGAGGGTGTTTCATTAAGGCGGATCAAAGTCAGCAGTAAATAAATCAGTGTAATTGGTGAGAATTTATTTATTTCTCTATTGGATCATGTTACTTAAGCCATGGCACTTCTGTGTGAATAATAATATCGCCCAAATATCCGCCAAATTTGAAAGTAAATGAAAAAATCATTAGATGCTTAAACTTAGTTCACATTAAAATCGTTCCAACTTATTGGAACCCCTTTACAATTCAGTATATATATATATATATATATATATATATATATATATATATATATATATTAGATCTCGACAACAACAATCTACTTTTAACATAAATTTTCCACCAAACCTGTCTTCTGATCAATTTCTCTTCTCTAGAGAAATAGGTCAGAAGACATACAATGTCAGGTATACAAAATTGTAATCAGTGGAGCAGTAAAAATGCTTCTATGTCAGTAATATGTGGCAGCGCCATATGTATCTACCCGGCTGTATGTTTGGATGCCTCTCTCTCTATCTCTCTATCTCTCTATCTCTATCTATCTATCTATATCTCTCTCTATCTATCTCTCTCTCTCTCTCTCTCTCTATTTCTCTCACTCTGTCATTATCTCTCTCTCACTGTCATTATCTCTCTCACTGTCATTATGTCACTCTCTCTCACTCTGTCATTATGTCTCTCTCTCACTCTAACGCTCTCTCACTGTCATTATCTCTCTCTCACTCTAACTCTCTCTCACTCTGTCATTATCTCTCTCTCTCTCTGTCATTATCTCTCTATCTCTCTATCTCTCTCACTGTCATTATTTCTCTCTCTCTCACTGTCATTATGTCACTCTCTCTCACTCTAGCTAACCCGGCTGTATGTTTGCAAACCTCTCTCTTTCTCTTTCTCTTTGCTTCTGTCTCTTAGTCTGTGTGTGTGTCTCTTTCTCTTTCTCTTTGTCTGTGTGTGTGTCTCTGTCTCTCTCTGTCGTTGTCTCTCATTAGCAATTACATGCAATAAATATTGTTACGGTTTTTTGTGCATATATTAGCTATGTAACTAGTGAGCGAGTCAAAATGACTTAATTCCCTTTATAGTCTATAAATAGAAGGTGGACCAATCAGAAGACGCAAAACACTGTATCCGTCGTGTATAAAGGCGGCCATCTTTGTTTTCCTACCGGAATGACCAGAGGCAACTTGTCAGGCGAACATGACAGACGGAAGAACTACACTCTGCTGTGATATCCACTGCGAACCTGAACTACGCTTTCCTACTGTCTCTGAAATATTCACTGCCAACCTCTGGATTCTATACTCGAAGACGACCGTCATGAAAATGTCTAATAAATATTTCATTAACTTGTTAAGCTAAAATCGAAAACAAAGTGAGATAATTATGCAGAGTGTATATACATAAACACACACGCACAGATAGATACATAGATTTCACAAGAAAAATGTCAGACATGTTTCGCATGGCAAAAGCAAGCAAAGAGAAAGAAAATTTATATAATAGTGAAATATAAATCCAAACATTGATTTTGTATTAATAACCATAAAATCTAAATACAACAAAAGATTATATTTTACTTACAAAATGGTAAGTGTCAAATTTAATGGTAGTGAGACAAAATGGTAGTGTCAAATTATACAGGCTAAACTATAAAGTTTCTTCATTTATTTTCATTTTCTTTTACGTATCACAATTAAACATAGTGTATGAGATAAATTGTCTTCCTGAATAAATAAGTTCCATATTTGCTTTCTGTGTTATTGTCTAAGGTTTTCAAGTAAATATGCTGGAAATAGTTGTATAAACAGTTTATCTCTCAGCCAGTCTGTCTGTTTTTCATTTTGTATATCTGTATGTATATATGTCTATCAACTGGTCTGTCTGTCTGTTTTACTATCTGCCTGTCGGTCTGTCTATCACTCTATCAACTTTGTATATCTATCTATCTATCTATCTATCTATCTATCTATCTATCCTTGTCTGTCTTTGTAGATTGATTTCTTCCCTTGTTCATTTGAATTCTTTATCAAATGAGTGACTTCAATTTATTTACATTTAATTCAATATTTGTCAGTGATAAGAAAAACTTAAAATCGATTTATGATTGCTGTGTTCCTCTCAATCTAACCGTGATAAACATGGAGATTGGCTGGCAAGTATATCATTGTGTAAATAAACAACAAATTGATTCCTACCCGCCTTTTCATGTCTTCTGATCTATTTCTCTTCTCTTGAGAAATGGGTCAGAAGACATACAAAGACAGGTATACAAGATTGTAATCAGTTGAGAAGAGAAAATGTTTCTATACCTATCAAGGTACACACACCAGAAATATGTGAACGCGCCATATGTATCTACCTGGCTGTATGTTTGCATGCCTCTCTCTCTCTCTCTCTCTCTCTCTCTCTCTCTCTCTCTCTCTCTCTCTCTCTCCTCACTCTGTCATTATCTCTCTCACTCTGTCATTATCTCTCTCACTCTGTCATTATCTCTCTCTCTCTCTCTCTCTCACTCTGTCATTATCTCTTGTAAATTAAGACCGAAACAATTTGCAACTTTTTTATTTTTCTTACTGTTGAAATGAAATCTAACCTTGTTGAAATTCAAATTAAATTTCATCATCAAATTATCTATTGACCCTTGACCCACAATAATGTTGCTTTCATTCATGACCATCAACAATTCAACTTCTAATCACACGACTTTTACGATAATAATTAGTAATTATTGTTGACATAATAAGCAATTGTTTAAAGTAAAAAGTAAAATGAAATTAGGACTTGAAATGATTTATTATCTCTAGACTCTCAGTAAAGTTGCTTTTATTCCTGACCATCGATTCACCCGACTTTTATAAAAATGAAGCATATATTGAATATATTATATTCCCACAAGTACAATTAATATTAGTAGCAATAGTAGTATAATCAGAGCCGATCTGGGGAGGGAGCCTCGTTTTTTGGGCCCCGTTGTTCTGTTATGTAATGTCATAAAAAGTCAACAAATGCTTAAATATTAATTAATGAAAATAATTTAAGTTCTAATTCATGCAAGTTGAAGTCTAGAATGTATTTAATAGGAATTAAATTCCGTGATAACATTGATATGAAGAAGAAGTAATGGCGGACTGATCTAATCGTTTGTCAGTGATACGAAAAGCAAAAACTTTACCCCCATTTCAAATGCAGTCCACCCTTCAAAATAGATTTGTGATTGTTGGGTTCCTCTCAATCTAACCGTGATAACCATGGAGATTGGTTGGCAAATATACCATTGTGTACAGAAATAAAACATTTTTTCTCGATTTAATCACTATAATGATTTATTATCTCTAGACTCTCAGTAAAGTTGCTTTTATTCATGACCATCGACTATTCAGCTTTGAGTCACCAGACTTTTATAAAAATGAAGCATATATTGAATATATTATATTCCCACAAGAACTATTATTATTTTGATATGCTGTAAAACAAAACAAACCAAACCAAAGTATACATTTTTGAAAAAATAAAAATTACCAGATATAGATTTCTGAAAAAAAAATTACCAGCGATACATTTTTGAAAAATATTACCAGCGATATATTTTTGAAGAAAAAATATTACCAGAATAGATTTTTGAAGGAAAAAAATTACTAGAATAAAAGTTGTCGGCATTAAATAACCCATTGTGGTTGATATGCCGTAAAACAAACCAAACCAAAATTTTAATAATGAAACTATTTTGCTTATCATGTCAGCGACAATAAGAAAAAAATGTTGCAAAAGCTGTCATTTTTTCTAAGAATATCAATTCAATCAGTGGGCAATTTCTCGATGACAGAGCCACTTTCAACAAGATCATAATTCATGCTAAGTGCTTAAAGGGTCAGCAATAATGAAACATTGTTGATTTTTGTTTAATGTTGCTAAAACTTTGCGAAGCGCTTAAAGAATTAAATTCCAATTCCTTCATGAGTTTTGCCTTTTTCTCTTTCATTTAATTAATTTATATTCATTTTATGTTTTTGGAAAACGTGATAGAATGTCGGTGCGTGCGTGTGGCCTTGTGTGCGTATTTGAGAAAAATTGCCTCATATCTATCTATCTATCTATCTATCTATCTATCTATCTATCTATCTATTCCGGCCTCTGCTTATATCTATCTATCTATCTATCTATCTATCTATCTATCTATCTATCTATCTATCTATCTATCTATTCCGGCTTCTGCTTCTGTCTTTCTATCTATCTATCTATCTATCTATCTATCTATCTATCTATCTCCGTGAAAAATCGAATAAAGACAAAAGGAAAACTTTTCTTTACCAATTCGTTTTGTCCTCTGATGGAATTTATCAAGGTAAATGTCCATGATAAAGTTCAGCAGAGGACGAAACTTGGTAGCTTTCATTTTTTTTCTTCACACACACACACACATATATATATATATAGGAAGACATTAAAATCAACGCTGAGCAACAACAGTCTGTTTCACGTTTAAACGCAATCTTCAGGTCATATGTGCTTGTGGGGGTGGGTGCGTGTGTGTGTCTGCGTGTGTGCCGTATGTAGATACAAGTTACCTAGCAATATGTCCGTAGCAAAAACGAAAGAAAAGACCAGAAAAAAAAATTAACAAGTCCTAATCTCTGTCACATCAAACAGATAATCACTTATCGTCACAGTTTTATAATTTCGTTTTCTTTTTAATCTTTTAATCTGATGATGTCACCTTTTAAGTGTCGCCTTGTTTTCCATTCAACTTCTCTACGAGTCAAACTGTGATGACGTTAATGTAAATACTTCCAAAAGAAAGCGACACTTCATGTTTGTCAATTTTGGGATTTTATTGGAGGTTTTTTTCAAGAAATAAAATTCTAATTTTAATCAAATAATCGTAGAAAGAATTTTTCTTATTCTCTTCATAGCTTTTACCTTTTCTTTTTTTTCTTTTTATTTCCTTTTTTACTCTCTCATATTTTGTCTCTTTTTTTCTCTCTTTTTTCTCTTTCTTTTACATTCTTTTTCTTTCTTTCTTTTTCACGTCCAAAAAAAAAAAAAAAAAGGTTTGATTGGCAACCAATATAGGAAAAGGACAACGATGAATTCAAAGATGTCGGGAAAGTAACGGGAAATCACTGAAATATCTTTTTCAAGTGGTCTTGGCAATTCACAGATATTAAAAAGGGAATCCGTGGAGAGCCACAACCGCCCACTCTTAAACCTGGAATAGATTGTAACCTCAGAAGGGTCAAAGCAACAGAAAAGATATATCATTATTATTATTATTATTATTATTGTTGTTGTTGTTGTTGATGATGATGATTTGTTGTTGTTGCTGTTGTTGTTTTTGACGATGGTAAACACCGCAAATTTTGTTGTAGCTGGAATCAAATAATCCGCTGTCCACAACCAGTAAACTGAGGTGGTACCTTTTCATCACCTTTTGAAAATTCTTTCGGGTATACGAGCGTTCCGAAGAAGAAGTCCAGTTTTCCGTCAGTGTCCGATCTTAACAAAACCATACAAAAGGAAAAGGAGACAGATGTAAATTGTGTTCGTGGGAAAAACTTAATATATTCAAACACTTAAATGATCCTAAGTTCCTGAATACGAGTTCCGAATTAATGTCTATATGTGCCCATAAATCCAAGTACCTGATCAAAAACTTTTACCCTGATTAAAAGTGATTTCAAAATGGATTTTATGAATGTTAATATAATATGCAACAACTTTTCAAATTCTCAGAACCAATTTTCAATTCTTTTCCTTATATACCTATATGCACATACAATGAAACTGAACTCGAATAATTTATAACGTGTGTGTATATATAACTTCACCGTTATAAATACATTAGATATATATAATTCCGGCCTATTATTGATTTATTTTTACACTTTTATAGTATAAATCTAATCTGCGTTCTAGTTTACGTTAATAGGCATAACTTGGGTATTTTATGCTAAAACAATCGAGAGTTACTTCCCTTGATACATGGATTATTTTTCGAATAATAATAATTATTATTATTATTATTATTATTATTATTATTTAATTCTTCGACTTTCGAACTTACGAATTTGATTGATATAAATTTGAATAGTTAATTTTATATTTTAAATCGACAATTTTTTACACCGAATTTTGAATCATCATCACGAGTACGCGTTAAATAACGGTCAGAATCTCCATACCTGAAGTTTGCATTAATTGCAGGAAACTCCGAATCTTGTTATCGATGTTGGATTATTATGTATATTCACTTATATATATTTATAGATCTGTTTCATAACATTGAGCAATGTATTTATAACACTTATATATATATATATATATATATATATATATATATAGAGAGAGAGAGAGAGAGAGAGAGAGAGATAATGCAGAAATTGAAATAGAAGATAGGTAGTTTTCCCCGCTTCCCACTATTTGACCAAATGTCCAAATAGATATATTTATTTTAGACTTTTTTCTTGCTCGGTGCAAAACCTGATCACGTGGACTGACTTCTTTTCGGGAATGGGTAAGCGTGTCGGCTGTGGAAGTGTCAAATTTACAAGAATGCTTTATACAGAGATCTCTGCAACAAATCACGTCAGCCATGTCTGAGGAAACCGTCCCCCACCCAGTCCCAATTATGTCGTCCTGCATTTCCCTAAGGTAAAACATTTCACACTGTGAACGAGATTAACGCTTATTGCAATGAAGCAGTTGATAGAAATAAATAAAATATTTTCGACGTCGCTGATTGCGATGATTTTACGCAAGAAACAAATTCGATTGAAATTATAGCTGTAGAAATAAAGATGTTGATTATCTCCCTTTTTTAGAAAGATGAAATTCATCTGACGGAAAGAGGTGCATATTTTCACAAGAACAAATTTTCACACCTTTAACCTTAGAAAATCTAAAAACATAACTGGCTTTTATAGCCAACATTTTAACAAGTCAATTGCAACCTCTCGGTGTTTCTATTAACAAATCTTTTAATGGATAGGACTAAAGATAACATTCCCTTTCTTCGTAATACCGAATCCAATGATGAAATGTTTGATTTAAAAAGAAAGAATAAAAGAGAATAGGGTTCAATTCTCTTTTTCGTTCTCTCCATAATTATATTTAGAAGCGATGACGAAAAATGACAAGTCTCTTACGTAAAGTGAAATTTACTAAGAAACGTTCATTTATTACAATGACAAAATTAGTTTTGAAAATATACAAATTGTTCAAAATAAAATATAGGCCTTTCACCAAATTTTCCTTGTGTCCCTCAAACTACGAAGAGTGATTAACAATTCTTTAAAATATAAATCTATTTAAAAAAAAAAAACATTTCATGAAATCCATTTTCTTTAATAATAATTCAAAGGTCGAAAATCGAAAGGGTGAAAACCTATTTCAGGGGATCCTGGTTAATTAGGTCCTTTAGACAAAATATTTCAATTTAAATAAGATGTTTACAAATGAGATAACGTCTCAGGTTTAGAAAATACATTTGAATGAGAAAAATATCTGTGGTTTAGAACATGATGTCCTTCGTAAAACCAATTATGCAGAATTTTAAAGGTTTTTCTTCCTTCTTCCTCAAGACTTTTACGGTACTTTCGAAATTTTACTGGGAAATTAAAACAAATAACTACATACGGGTAGTAAATTGGAATTTTGTCGCCAAAACTAAACCCTTTTCCGGCCGCGGCGTCCGATGTAGCCTGTGTTTGCTGGAAAAAAAAAGATTCATTCTCAAAAATATTAATGACCCCCAAACCTACTGAACAGACGTAATGAATTTTATGATAGCTTCCATCCATAGAAAAGATCTCCCCTAAAGTATTTTGATTCTGGGTACATCATTTTATCCAACTTAACCTGACCATTCTATAATTTAGGTTAAATATTGATTACTCACTTCTACCACTTAAGCGTCTATTAATACGTCACGGGCGACACTGATCTCCTCTTGTCTTAAATGTTTTTTTGTTTTCAAATTTTATTATTATTATTACTATTTGATTTTTTTCACGCTTTTAACTTTTTTGTCTAAACAAAAATACAATTCAATTATTTACCACAGTAATTTGGATATTTTCAACTTTTTTCGTGTTTCCAACAAAATAGACTTTGATTTTGAAAGTATTTTTAAAGTAGATTTTTGTTAGTTCAATAAAAATATTCCAAATACATCCGTATATATATATATATATATATATATATATATATATATATATATATATATATATATATATATATATATATATATATATATATTTGTACCATAGAAAAAAATTTTGATAATTTAAACCGACGAGAGGTGGTGAGAGGTGGTGTAATAACATTCATGTCAGCGGAGGATTTTATTAGGCCAAGGCTGAAATGGAGACAGTGACTGTTAATCGCTATTTAAAACGCGGATTATGGAATTTTCTGCAGACCATAACTCAAGAAAGGAAGTCGGTCAAAAATATAAAGAAAATGATGGACTCTGATTCGTTTGTATCCAAACAAAATTGTAATTATAATTGTAATTGTCATGTGACAAGAAGGACATTTTTCGGATTTCCCTGAATTTTTTCTTATTTTCTTGTTTGCGCCTCGCCAAAAAAATATTTTTCTTTTCGTTTGTTATTTTATCCCGATTTGATTTTGTCGATTTGCTAATATTCAATTTCATAGTCGAATAGAATAAGTGGCTAAGGGTCAGAAGAACCTGAAAGGGATGGAGATCGAAGATGAGATAGCGACGGAACCGGGTGAAAACCGGCCTTCGAGAGCTACTAAAATCCATAAGTGGTGGGGAGAGAGGGTGTAAGAACATACAAGACAAGCAGAGGAATTTTTCTTTCCTTTTATTTTATCCGGATTTTATTTCATTTTGTTCATTTGCTAATATTCAATTTGATAGGCGAGTAGAATGAGTGGCTATGGGTCAGAAGAACCTGAAAGGATAGAGATTGAAGATGAGATAGCGAGGGAACCGGGTAAAAACCTGCCTTCGAGAGCGGCTTATATCCATGAGGGGTGGGGAGAGATGGTGTAAGAACATACAAGACAAGCAGAGGATTTTTTGTTTTCTTTTATTTTATCCCGATTTTATTTGATTTTGTCGATTTACTAATATTCAATTTGATAGTCGAATAGAATGAGTGGCTAAGGGTCAGAAGAACCTGAAAGGATAGAGATCGAAGATGAGATAGCGACGGAACCGGGTAAAAGCCGGCCTTAGAGAGCTACTGGGTGGGGGGACCCAGAGTTTTGGACTTTGGGAGGAACCCAAGGTATCTAAAAGACTGGTTAGCGTCTATTGGGACAAGACAGTTATATATAACTTCACCGTTATAAATACATTAGATATATATAATTCCGGCCTATTATTGATTTATTTTTACACTTTTATAGTATAAATCTAATCTGCGTTCTAGTTTACGTTAATAGGCATAACTTGGGTATTTTATGCTAAAACAATTGAGAGTTACTTCCCTTGATACATGGATTATTTTTCGAATAAATGATATGATCTGCCCGAGAAGGAAAGTTGGCATTTATCGCAACAGAGGATCCGGTTTTAAAATTTATTGAGGATCACCTGGCGAGGGATCCTCAGTGGAATTGGACAGAATTAGAGGGGGAAATTGGTAGGCGAATATACGGACGAAGGAACATCAGTAGAGACAATTAGAAACCTCGTGAAGCTTGAAAGGCGATCCTCCCAGAGATTTGTGAGTGAGTGTCGGGAAATTAGCTGCCCTGGAGAAGTAGGAAAAAATGTCGCAATCCCTGTTGACTGACCTGTATGTGGAAGAACTCCAAGACGAGCGCATAAGGCATGATGTTATTAACAAGGCCCCAAGGTCAAGCTGTCGGGGTTTATCGCTGAGGATAGCGAGAAAATTTGGGAGAAGATGAGAGGCAAAAGAACACAGGTGTAAATTCGGAAGATAGTCAGGCAAGGCGGTGGAAAGGAGACCACTCACCTGGGTTTTAGAAATGAAGCATGAGGCGGTCGAACCAAGGGAATGGGAAGTGGTTCCCAGTAGAAAGGCATGGACACTGGGGCATGTTTTTGTTTCAAACTCACCCCGGGCGATTTAGGGCTGATATGTTAGACCTGTCGTTACGAAAGCCATAGGTCAGTAGACTGACCAACGAAATAGGGACTGCCCTCGGACTTTTGCGAACCAAATTCCACCAGTTGTGGTCGTTGTGGACATGAGTCGAAGTGGTGTGGGATTAAGACGAAACTCCCTCGTTGCAAAATCCGTCTCTGAGAAACAGAACCAAGGAAACACCGGTGGGCGGTCCCCAAAGAAAGAAGTAAAAGGGAGGTTGTCCCATATAAACAGAAGGTTACAATTTTGGGCATGCGGTCAGAACTGTCATTTTGTCGCCAACTGCTCCAATAAGATCTGCAGTTACAGAAAACAGCTCTGAATCGTGAAATAAAAATTAGACATTATTTAATTGGAAAAGCTTTTAATTGCTTTTATCAGTGATATATTATGGACACTATTGTCTTAAGAAAAAACCTTTCTTGATTAATATATTTATATATATATATGTGTGTGTGTGTGTGTGTGTGTGTGTGTGTGTGTGTGTGTGTGTGTGTGTGCAGAAATATAGTGTTAAAGTGTGCTATATTTATGGGATAAAGTGCTAAATATCAGAGATAGAGCGTATATAAATATAAATATAAACGTGAACATTGAAGTCAAAACTCAGAGGCGACAGGCTGTTTCATGCTGGACGCAATCGTCAGGCCGCCAGGAAGCTGAAATTTGGGGGACAGTCTGTGAAAAAGGCATTATTTTATCAGTGATATTATTTCATCTGATTTTTTTCTTAATTGTTATTGATGATGATGATGATGATGATGATGATGATGATGACGATGATGATGATGACGATGATGACGATGATGATGACGATGATGATGATGATGGTATCACGACTATATCTTCTTTTTCTGTTGCTTTTATCTTAATTTTTAATAAAAATATTTTTATGATGATGATGATGATGTTGTTTTTGTTGTTAAGAGTTCGTTTTTTTTTTTTTTTTAAACTCTTTCCGTTGCTTGCCATTTCCGTCTGGAATCTTCGTCGCAAAAGTATCGATACTTTTCCTTATTTTATGAATTCTTCTTCCCTCTTTTTCTTTTCGCTCTTTCTCTCTCCTCCTCTCTCTCTCCCCCTAACCCTAACCCTCTTTCTCTCTCTCCCCCTCTCCCTCTCCCTAACCCTAACCCTCTCTCTCTTTTTCACTTTTCTTTAATTGTCTCTTGTTCTTTTCCAAATTCAGTCTGAAAATGATTTTAAATCAATAAAAATTGAAATTCCTTTCGTCAATGTAGAATGAAAGATAATTTCAGAAAATTAACCGATCTCCGCGAAAAAATAAAATAATAATGGGGGGGGGAGAAAATGATAAAATAAAAAGAAATTGGCTTCGATTAATCCGAAATTCAAATCAGATAAGACGATCAAGTGTTTCATTAATCAATCAGTATTAATTTATTTACCGTTTTTGTTCCCATTGCAAAAATAAGTCAGTTTCGCTTCCAAATGTTATGACACCCATTGATGGTTGGAGTAAAGGCGGCCAAAATAAAATTTATTGCCAAATCCTTTGAAAGACGAGGAGTTCTTTTCTCACAAATTCGCATTAAAAAAACTTTATTTTTTACATGATGTTTTGATGCCTCGACTCATATTACGAAACAGAAATCATTTTGTTCGATAATTATTTCCCTGATCTCATATTTTTACATCATCGAAAAAAATTATTCAAATAAAAAAATTTAATTTTGAAGAAAAATGTAAAAAAATAACACAAAATATGGGAAAAAAATTAATTTTCAAAATGAAAAATATCAAATTTTTTCTGTAAAGAAGCCTTTTTTTCTTATGAATTAATTTTTCTAATTGTCATTAAATATTTTTCAGCTTTTTTAAAAACAAATAAACATTTTCATGGAGACAAAACAATGGAAAATCTGAAGACTCTGAGAGCGAGAGAGAGAGAGAGAGGAGGGGGAAGAAGAATTCGTAGACTTTATGAAATTTGTACAAAAGTTTCTCAGAAAAAGAGTAAAAAAAATTTCCCGGTAGAAATATAAAAATGTCCAGAATAATTATATTGGATATACTACAACATGCCTAACAAGAAGACTCACGTTATATCTCTCTGACCATAGCTCAGTTCGGTCGCATTTATATAAACACGGAGACGTATCAAATTCCACCCTGTCAATAAAATGTAAATTATATTATTTAAACTTGGGCATGCATATTTATAGGTGGAATTTAAAAACGCCAGATGATCAGAACTTCTGCTGATCTCTCGGTTGAACTAGATCGAACGGGTCGATGGGGAAATAACTTGCTTTTAGCTTTCAATACCTCAAAAATCAAGCTATTATCTTTTCGCCATCATTAATCAAAGCCCGTGTTTTCTGTAGACATGATGAATGGCTCCATTCTCATTGAAGCTCCATGGATCTCAGATTCTCTCCAGATCTCAAACAGAACTCGTAGGTTCCTTTGGGGAAGATTTTAGAAGAATGGTCAGTCCATTCTGTCTCTCCAGGAAGTACCAGACTCCTCCTGCCATGCTTTATCTTTAAAAGTGCTAGATTAGACCAGAAACAGATTATTGATGCTATATCTGGCTTGGAGCTGCTCAATCCCTACTTCTCTGCCTTAATTCTCTTTTTTTAATTGAATTTACCCCAAGGAAGGCAGTAAAGCCACTAAGACACAATGTTTTACCGAGTATGAAAGAATTAGAAAAAAAGAAACATTATCAAGAAGCGAAAACAATAGAAAAGTAATCAGGAAGTCAGTAGATAACGAGTGACATAGCATTTAAATTTTTGAAGATCAGAGTTGACCGGAAAGCATAGAAGAGGAAGAAAGTGCGAGAAAAGAAACTCTTAGCATAGAACTTACGGTTGCATATAGTCAATTCAACTGAATTCAAAATTGCATGTAACAAGGTATCCATACCGATTACCAATTAACTTTATTATTATATATACATACATATATATATATATATATATATATATATATATATATATATATATATATATATATATATATAATTAAGTTATGAAGAATTTGGTAAACTGAATTGGTAATTCCAAAGAGAATGAAATCCTGAGAGCTCAATGTGAAGAACAGAGCCAATAGTTAATGAACAACAGACACTTTAAGGTACCATAACAATAATTTATTTCAAAAAAATTTTCCTCTCATTTCATTGTTGTAAGTGTTACCTGATGATCCAAAATCCTTTAAAAGGATTTTGGTGAAATAAATTAATGTTATGGTACCTTAAAGTGTCTGTTGTTCATTATATATATATATATATATATATATATATATATCAACTCCAGGCGGAAACAGATGTCTTCTCACTGCAAATTATCGAAGCTCTCAAACTGGACAGCTTCCATTCTTAGTGTTCAATCTCCTCAACATAATACCAGCCGATTTGATGCAATTTAATATTCTGTTTATAAAATGCGTACAACAAAAATAGGTGATTTTTTTTAAATGAAAGCAAAAATTGCCTTTAAAATTTTATACAATTAAGCCAAAAGATTTAATTAAATTTTCGGAAATATTTTTGGGACGTATGTTTCCTTCCACATCTTATGTCTGGTGTGTACTTTGTAATTTCTTTGTGGGTCGGTTCAGTTTTGGAGTTAGACAAAGAAAAATCCTCGAAGATATTATTTCAGTCAAAAATTTATTCAATATCAAATGTCAACATTTGGAATTTTGTCCGGCATTTTTCCAAAATGAATTCAATAAATCTCAAAATATTTTTTTGAGAATTGGTACTTGAATAATTTCATAAAACAAGTTATTTTCTTTCAGATTGGACAACGGTTAATTTATTTTTGGTATGGATGTACAAAAAGAGCATAATTTTTATATCCCGCATAGACTGTCTATTATTTAAAATCGGAAGGGTATATTATTTAATTCCCGTCAGTCCCGTTCAGTCAGTTTTTGTCTAATAAATTCAATTTTCCGATCCATAATTAAGGTTGTTTTGTTTATTTGCGTGTCTTTGTTTTCTTGCATTTATTTACAGATTCTTCTCTACAATAAAAACCAATTCTGACTTCAGTCATTAAACAGAAATTCTACTTTGAAATTTTCATTATTTTAAAAGAAATCATTCTTTTTATTTTTTTTCCTGCATAATTTTTCCGACTCAACACCAAGAAAAATTTCACAATTGCAACGAAATTAATTCATTTGCAGAAAATAATATTTTATATTTTCATTTTTCTAAAATTTACATTTCGAATAAATTCTTTTCTTTTCACGTTAATTGAATGCAGATTACATTTACGTTATATTTTTTCTTTAGGGAGCGACTTACTGCCTTCAAATTTATTCATTATCCGAATTTTAATAAAAGTGTATAGAATAAAAAAATTATATTTTCAAACTATTGGCTAAAGAAAATTTATTTTAAAAAATAGTAAGAAACTATTATGTCACTGTTGGTCTGCCGTATTTCTTTAGGTTTTATTTTTAATTTTACGCCCGATTTTTTGGGGTGTAATTGGAATTAATTTAACCCCGACATGCAGCCGTGCGTAAATAAAACGTTATTTTCATTCTATTTTAAGGAAAAGTAAAGATTAGATTAAGAAAATCCAATTAATTAATCCTTAAATTTACTAACAAACTTCGAAAAACATCCAAACTTGTAAAAATGCCTAAAAAGTTTATATACGGAAATTAATTTTTCTTTTTATTCGAATTAACTTTTTAGGCCATTATCTTTGAAATGGAAGAAAAAATTAAGTTCAAAGAAGACATTTAAAGTATTTAAAATGTGTTTTTTTTTTTGGGGGGGTTATTATTTAGAAAGTCTAATATTATAATTTTTTTTAAATTCACTTTTGGGGGCTATTTACAAATAAATTTTCCCGGTTTCAATTCCTTCTTTCGACTTTTCTCTCCAAATACCAAAAGAAATTGATTCTGTTTTGTATCAAAAAATAAGAAGAAAAAGCAAACAATTTTGGGCAAATTTTTCAGCCACATTTATCGGAATGAAAACAAAAATATCAATAAATAGTCAAGTGTTCGATTAATAATCGATTTATTAACCAATTTCCGATAATTTTATTGATAAATTTGAATAGAATGAGAAAAACAAAAGGCGTTGAACACCGAATAGAAAAATCAATTCAAGGGGAAATCGAAAAAGAGAGAGATGGAGAGGAAGCAGAGAGAGAGCAGGCGGAGAGAGAAAATAAAAATTTTTTTCTTTATTTTAATAATAATAATAATAATAATAAAGACGGTGATGTTGTGAGTACTTGGTTTTCTCTATGTTGCTTTTGTCCCTTCAGGGCGTAAATCTCTATGCCCCTCCCTTTAATTCCAAACTACCCTTCTATTCCGAACCTAAGAATAAGCGGTTGTGGAGAGCCACAGATTCTTTCTATTTTGCAATATCTAGGAAATGTTATTGAATCTTTTTGGTATGGAGTGGTTTCCCAAAGACTTTTCCCTTGACTGGTTGTCATTCAAGGCTAGAGAAGCCAGTCTACCCTGCTATTTATTTCGATTGAATTCATTAATTCTTAAAAATAAATTCATTATTCTTTAAAATAAATCAAACATGAATTAATCCCAAACTAAAATAATAAAAATAATAATTAGATGAAAAAAAAAAAAAAACAATTCAACAACCATATTGAGTGACTTTCATTTCTTCGACATCAAAATGACATTCCTTAGGATCGGCCATAATTTACCTTGACGATGTCTATTTATAAGCGATGTGCCTAATGGTCATCAACAACCTTCCCGATGTCATCCTTTTTCAAGCCGGTCTCTATGCTGATGTCACAACTATTTACTCTTGTCTTATTGGTAAGTCTGGTCGCTTCGATAAAGTGAAATTGGCAACTTATCTCACAAAAGACCTAAAATCTTTTGTTAACTGCGCTAAGGTGTTACCGTAGATTCTATGCTAACAGTTCCTTTCATTGGTAACATTAAAAAGCTACACACAAACAATACGAACATACTAGTAAAATCAAAAAGTCAAAATAGACTTATGATCCTTGAAAGAAAAAACTCTTACAATAAAAACTATGATGTCTTTAAATAAAAGCAATAATAATTTAAGATGCCGAGAAAGTCACCATTTCTTTCTACCTACCCTGATGATGACGTGTCAAAGTTGAAACACTTGAACCATATTTCTCTTATATTTCTTCCAATTTGCACTTTGGACAATTTTTGATGGAATTTCTTCTTTGTCTTTGAAGGATTATTTGTATATATATATATATATATATATATATATATATATATATATATATATATATGACAGTTTATTGCTACTTATCAAAATTGGCAAAATGGACATCTTCGGTCGTTTGTGTTCAACCACCTCGCTATAATACCAGCCAAATGGATTCAGTTTAATATTTTGTTTAATAGGAAGAAAATTGATTAATAAAACAGTAAATATGCCTACAAATCAAATCTATTTTTGTCTATTCCCTTATTCAATTTCATCTCTTTTCAAGATATAATGGGTTTGTGGCTCTCCACAGCTTCTTCTCATTAGAATGACTTAATTGGAAATGTGAGTTTTAAAAAAGTTTTCCCTTCGACTGCTTGGCTTTCAGTTTTCTTTTTCTTTTGTTTTCGGTCATCTAAAAATGGCAGACTTGGATGGCATTGAAAAACATAAGCAAATATAGAGAGAGGGGAAAGTCGCGGGTGGAGGAGAGGATAGAGAAAAGAAAGAAAAACAGTTTAAGGGAGAGGGAGGAAGGGAGGGATAAAATTTAGAAGGGGAGGTGGAGAGGTTCTGTGAAGAAGAAAGGATTTTATCAGTGATATTATTTCATCTCATTTTTTCCTTAATTCTCATTAATGATGATGATGATGATGATGATGATGATGATGATGATGATGATGATGATTGTTGTTGTTGTTCCAAGTCCATTTTTTTCTCTTCCCCTTGTTTCTTCCCCACCCCCTCCGGTAAAGACGTGCCACACCCTTTCATATCGACCTACTCTTCTAGTTGGGACCCACGAAATGTCATTTTTAAAAAGAATCATTTCTTACCCTGGGGCATCAATATCAATGACACCCTACCCCGACACGGACCAATTCCTCGATAAAAAGGCCTTTTCTTTTTAAAGAAAAAAATCTATCAATTTTCATCGATTTTTTATTTTTACTTTTATTTGAAAATTTAATCAAAATCAATTCCACATTTTTTGTCAACCTTTGATGATCGGAGAAACAATAAATGCAAAAAACGAAAATATCTTGTCAAATCCATCATTTTTCTGTCTTATTTACCTGAACTCATATTGGGAAATCATTAAAAATATTTACAAAACTTTCCAAACGAAAATTTATTCACATTAAAAAAAATTAAAAACAAAAAACTATTTTAATTGAAATAAATTTTATTTTATTAGATTAATTTACAAAATTTCCATTAAATAAATAAAAAAAATTATTTGTAAAATTCATTAAAAAAAAATTCAAGTTCTTTTTTTTGTTTACAGAATTTTTTTTTTTAAATAATAAAATAATTTTTTTCCATTAAATAAAAAAAGACGAAAATTTTATTTATTTGTTTGTTTAAAGTTTTCTTTTTTGTTTACGTAAAAACAGTTTTTTTTAATTAATTTTCAAAATTTTCATTAAATTTTATTTTTTTAAAATAATTTTCAATTTTTCCATTAAATAAATAAAAAAAACAAAAATTTTAATAAAAATAAATTTATTTGTAAAATTCACGAAAAAATTCAAATTCTTTTTAATTACTTCTCAAAATTTTCATTAAATTTTCTCCGTCGTTTTTAAAACAAACAAATAATTTTTTTCCAGAAACAAAAATCATCGGAAAATTTTCAGATTCTTTCGGAAATTTGTACAAAACTATTTTTGGTAAAACAGAAAAAATTCCTTCCTTGTTGCAAAAATAAATGTGACCAAATTTGTCGGCACAAAAATCGAGAATTTCTTTTTCAATTTTGACGATTCGAAGAATTTGGCCATTTTGGTTCCAGACAAAGAATTCCGACATTCTTTGTCTTGTCCCCAACAAATTCCCGGTCATGGGATGGGAACGAAGGAGGGGGAGAGAAACGGGCCCCAGCGATTTCTCAAGTTGGATTCTTTTGATTTCATTTCCTTCTTTAGAAAAACAAAAGATTTCTTTAAAATACAAATCACAAGAGAAAATTTTTTCGTTCATTTGACACAAAGAAAAAAATGTCTTTTCTTTTGATTTTTTTTTCTTTTTCTAAAAATGTCCGACTTTCTTTTCGAGCCAAAAACATAAGTCCTCTTCTCAACTCCCCACAAACAACGAAATTGTCTTGAGAAGGACAACAAATGTCCTGGGGAAAGAAGTCTTCGTTCCCCAAGGGACATTGGCCGACGAATTCGCCAGTCTCGCCTAATTCCTTGATCGATTTATCGTCCCCAACGAAAACAAACACGTGACGGTCTTTGTCGCTTCCGGCAATCGACCGCAGGTTGGAATCCTGCAGGTGGAATTCGCTTTGAAGTTCCAATTCAATTGGGGGCCATCTCACTACAGTGAAGTCGACGATTTCTTTTTGAAGTTGGTTCAATGATCGTTGGCACCATTCTGAAAAGGTCACCAAAAATGACCTTCCTCCACAGGAGTCAATGATTCGTGGAGCCGCCCTAAAAGCTCCGCTTCCAGCGACTGTACACCAGAAACAACGTCCTCGTCGTCGATGCTGGGGCCTGACAAATGGCGCAAATTCATGAGCCATTTTCTCGCCGCCTCCAAGAGATTTTCTTTATCTTCGAGCGATTGGTGCCATTTCGTTTCTTCTTCGGTCGTTTTTCGTTTCATTTGTTTGCACAACTCTACGACCTTCATCTCTGTCTTTTCCAGAAATTCATCAAATTCTTTCCAGACTTTTGTGCAATTTACTGCGCAATCGATTGATAATTGTTCAATCGATTTCTTCATCTGTTCAATCTTTACAACGAGCCGCTTTTCGAATTCTTCGACATCTTAATGCAAATAAACGAGGCGCTTTTTCGATTCTTTTATGTCATTCCTCAAAGACGAAGCCATTTTTTAATTTCGTTCAAGAAAAATGAAATCTCAAAATATGAAAGAAAAAAAAATCTTTTTTTAGAAAATAAAAAAAGGTCAAAGTTCAAAACCATAAAAAGTCGATTTCGAAAACCGAAAATAAAATGAAACGAAATTTTTAGATTTTACAAGAAAAACAAATCGATTTCATGAAAAATTTCAGTTTTCTTTTAAAATCACTAATAAATAAAGGCGGGGAGGGGGGGTAAGAGAAAAGATAATGAAATATGTGAGAGTGGGGAATGGGGAATAGTGAGAGTGAGAGAAAAAAATAAAATATATATATAGAGAGAGAGAAGGAAATATAGAACGCGTCAGAGTGAGTGAAAAGTGAGAGAAGTCGAAAGAAACAAAGGAGAGAGTGGTTATCGATGCAGAAGTGAGAGGAGAGAGAGAAAGAAGACCAATTCGAAAAAAGGGAAAGAAAGAAAGGGTAAAAGTAACAGAGAGAGAAAAGCTCCAATTTGCTGTCTTCACAATCACTTTTAACATTCAGACGTTAATTAAATTGTTTCACAGTTCCTTTCACTGGACACGATTTAAGAAATTTCAAAATGGCGGATTTTTATCGTCTGCTTCCGAAACCATTCAGTTTTTTTATGACAAAATTGAATCCATTTTCAATAAACTGATCCACTCATTAAAATGTTTTTTTTTTAAATGGGGTCATTTTTTGGAGGCCTGTGAAATATTTTTGTAGATTAGCATTTATTAGACTTTTAAGCCACAACGATTGACAGAAACGAAAATTTGTTTTTTTACATAAAAGGGGTCCAGTTTATAATATCGTTAAGGTGTAAAGTCGATCCCTGATTTTTTTAAAAAGTTTATTTTCTGATAAAAAAAACTTCGTTTAAAGAAGAAAAAAAAATAAACACAAGTTTTTGTATGAAAAAAGTCACATAAATTAAACAAAGTCTGTATTCGTTTATTCTTCATTTAAGATAAAAAAAAAAATTATTCCTCTGTCTGTGAATCACTTCCCTCAAAAAAGAAGCGAAAAATATGCAGATATTTCTGATGAAGGCAGAGTTTCAAACATAACATTTGTAAATAACAATTGAAGTCCAATAATTCTCACAAAGTCAGGGATTGATTTTCCACGATATCATTATTATGAACAAGACCCTCACTTTATAAATCAGAAAAAAATGAATCATTTTTCTAGGCTCGTTTGAAGAAAATCCAATGAATTTTAATCTACAAAAATTAATTCCCTCCCCCGCCAAAAAATGTGCACCATTTTAATAAAAACGGACCAATATATTTAAGTAGCGCCAAGAAGTGAATTAAGATTTCGGAAATATTACAAATTGTCTACAAGCGAAATAAAGAAGGAGGAAGAAAATAAAAGAAATACAAATTCGATGACTGAAAGAAAAGAAATAAGCAGACGACAGAAATAAATATAAATAAACGCCATCTTTAATCTTTCTGATATCATTGCAAAGACTTTATCAGAAATATTAACTAAAAACGAATTTATTTTACCACAAAATTCGGATCAGATATTTTTTAATAAATTGTATGAATAGAAAAAATAAAAAGTTATAACACAAGTTTATCTCTAAATATGAATGCGGTTAAAAAAAATAATAAAAAATAAAAGTAGGAATTCTCGTTGTTTTGATGTAAACATTTGGGAAAATTTCGATTATTTGGAAATCGATATGAAAATTCTGACTTACATTTGATTTCGCTTCGATTTCACTTGAGTGAAATTAGTTTTTCTTCAAATTTGGGAGACCAATATTTATTCCTGTAAAAATACAGCAAATGTGGCACAAGGCCGAAAAAGGGGTTGGGGAAAAGGACGGTCATCATTTGTCTTAATTTTAAAACTTAGCTCGCCACAACCATTGACCCAATTGTACAAAACAATATTCCTACCACCAAAACAACACATTTATATAAACCTTTCTTACTACATCCACGAAAAAACCTCATTGTCTCAATGAAAATCTTGAATAGTCCCCATATATACAAATATTGTCTGGGGTGGGGGGAATAAAAAACAACAAGTTAAAAGATCCCTAATGGTGATGTACAAGATGACTTAAAATTATTTACATGAACTAAACAAAATCATGTTAGTAATACCCCCCCACAAACCTTAAACTTAAATGTGGCAGAAATATAAGTAAACTGAACGAAATCGATGCGGGACTTCAAAAATATAAAAAACATTCATCCATCCCAAGCACTCATACAGACACGCACTCATTCTGACGCAACAACAAATACGAAAAACACACACGCGAAACGAAAGGTGCCCCACATCCACCAGAGAACTGACATCACTGACCACCTAACGAGGGAGGGGATGGGGTGTTAAACTAAAGGAAACAAAGGGAGACAGAAATAAAAGGAGCCAATGAGCAAGCACACCCTTGCTAAGTTTACTGGAAAAGAAAGGAAAAAACTAAGGAATCAAAAACAAAAAACCTACTCTAGCCTAAATCCAGCGATGGGTTAGGGTATTCTGATGAGGCAAGCCGCCGCCTTTCCGTCCTAATCTTGACTTTAAGCTAATGCTTAAAGAACAAGATCAGTTGGGAAAAAGTAAACCTCTCGCCAACATAGAATTCCTTCTGACGCGTCGTCCAAATCACGACTCTCATAACACCTAGTAAGCAACAGAACACATAATGTTCAGCCTTCGTCATCTGCGGCTCCACATTGCTACAAACAGAACTGGCCTCAAAGACAAAGAACTTTCCCTGCAGCATGCGGACCATGAGGCCCTCAACAAACCTGCACAACGGTACTACCACCCTGCAGTGAAATGGTCTCGACTTCCCCAACACAGCGACGGCAGTTTGGATATTTCTCCAGGCCAGCTGCACAAAGTCTTTTGGCGAGCCAGAGGGCCCCCAAGAATCACCAGCTCGGTGAGTGATGCCTCATCGTTATTGACGCATTTCAACCCAGGTGCTCAAGGCCATATCGAGCGAGCCTCCTGCTTCGTAAGACCGAGCTCGTCAATTACATCATCACGAACCCTAACTAATATCTGATACAATGCCCTACGAGACACCGCCTGGGCGTTGGAGAGGCCATCCGACGCCCTTAAGCACGACGACATTCGCGGTAGAAGGGGCATTCGGCTCGAGGTGTACGGCCGGCTTCCTCCTCGCACGAGTGCACAGGAATGGGAAGTTTCTACGAACGTCTTCCTTACAGAAGACGCCCTCCTCATCCGATTCGCGACACATTCGGTCTAGGAAGGCGATGCGAAGCATATATTGACGAATCTCAATGATAAGCATTCCCAAGCCGCCCTCAGAGGGATGAAAGCAGTAGATCTCCCGAGATACCATAGCGGCCTTGTTTCTCCACAAGAAAGAGAACATGAGCCTTAATAATGATATTAGTGTGGTAGACGGAAGTAGATGTACAGAGAGTCGGTAAAGGAGAATCGGGTAGATGTGTGAAACATATACTTCCACCCTCCCTTTTAAAGAAAGCTTCCTCCGAGACCACAGATTAAGCGCAATCTCGGCTTTCCCTTGTAGCTCCGACCAATTCATTTCCAACTGGAGATCAGGAACGAACCAGACGCCGAGTATCTTGATCGGCCCGTCCGTCCAGAGGAAAGGTCCGGGAAAAGAAACTCCCTTCGACGCACCCAACCGCAAACCAACAGACTTATCGAGATTGATCTTGGCCCCTGTCACCATCTCATACCCACTGATCTCTTTGCTGACTTCGTCAATCTCGGCTCTGCTCGAAACAAGAACCGAAACGTCATCAGCATAGGCAGAATACCTGGATGAGGTGGTAGCTCCAGGCAAGGAAATTCCGCGCAGGACCGGATTCGCCTTTAACTTGCGAAGGAAAGGTTCCAACGGAAGAACGTAAAGCAAAGATGAAAGCGGACAACCTTGATGAATGGAGCGAGACAATACGAAACTCTCCGATCTTACCCCATTCACTTCCACCAGCGCACCGGGGGTCGCATACAAAAGTCGGATCCAGGAGCGAAAGTCGGCTCCGAAACCGGCCGCCGAAAGGACAGCCTCCAGAAAACGATGATCAACCCTATCGAAGGCCTTGGACTGATCTAAATTGATCAGCGGGGCATCACTGTCGACTTGTTCTAAGATCAAGCGTACCATATGAAGGTTATCCTGAATAGTCCTACCCTTCACAGCACAAATCTGTTCGGAGCCAATCAGACTAGACAGGACAAGCTGCAAACGGTTGGCTAAGATCTTCGCCAAAATCTTTAAGTCAGTATTTAACATGGTTAAAAGGCGAAAGTTATCTAACCCATCCCCACCGTTTTTGTTCTTACGCAGCATCTTGATCACACACCTGGTGAAGCGTTAAGGTATAGACTACTGCTTCATCCAGTGGTTGAAAATCAGTTCCAGCAAAGGAACAAAAACAAGCGACTGCCTCAAGTAAATTTCGTAGGGAAGACCATCTAGTCCTGGAGATTTATAAAGGGCAACCTGTTTCAGCGCTTCCCAGATTTCCGACTCTGTGATGGGAACCTTGCATCCAGCCGCTTCAGCTCCCTCGAGGCAGGGGAAGTCAGCATAGAATTGAGCAGAGCTCAGACCGGGCTCCTTGGTGAAAAGTTCCTGAAAGTAATCCTGAAAGGCCTTGCATATGCCCGTGTTTGTAGTCACGGTCCGCTTATCCGGCAATGTGACACACGCGATATGTCGCCTAGCCGCGTTCCGATTTTCCTCTGCACGCAGTTCAGCAGCCATGTTCGTCGCCTCAAAGCACATTCTTTTTAACCTAGCCCTAACTGCCAGAGCTTGATCCTTCTTGATAAGCAAGGATGACAACACTGCCTTAGCTAAGGCTATTTCCCCACTATCACGCGATTTCACTGTCCGATCAACTTTTCTTCTAAAGCCGTTTGCGCCGCTAATCTAGCTAGATTGTGTCGACGACTAAAATCGGCAGCAAACGTTCTAATTTTGGATTTTAATTTATCCCACCAGGCGTTCCCTAAAACCGCCCCGACAATTCCCTTTGTATCATTAGTAGCAGCTGGTCCCGGAAATCCTGCTCACCAAATAAGGAACAGTTAAATTTCCAGTAACCAACCAACCTAACCTTAGGCTTATCTAAGTTTACACGGACCCGGACAAGCCTATGATCCGAATAAACTATGTAATGGAAGCTTGGACACCCTAAGAGCCCTACATCGACTCTCCTAAGACTCGGTCGAGGTAGCTAGCAAGCGTCCCAGAAGCCGAGTTGCCACTATTTGTCCAAGTCCATGCTACCTTCCGAGGGTGCTCATTCCAGTACTTATCGACAAAATCAAACGCATAGATAAAGTCCCGAAATGGTTTCACGTCCCGGTTGTGTTTTTGCCCTATACGATCTATATCGGGGTCAAGGACGGTATTCCAATCCCCCGCTAAAACTATCCGACGAGATGTCGCCAAGAACGGCTCGATCTACCGAAACAAAGCAGGCCGCTCAGTATAGGTATTGGGCGCATAAACCCCAATGAGACGAAGAGCCTTATCCTTTATGGTAACATCCAGCACGCAAAGCCCGTCCGCCGGATCTGCGAAGACAAGAGTACATGCAGCCTTTAAGACTTGCTCACTAGCCAAGAGACACCTCTCGAACGACCATCAAAACATGCTGAATAAAGGGAGAACCAATTGGACAGTATGTCCCCACGGTCATGAGAAGAAAACCGGGTCTCCTGGACACAACAAACATTCATCCCTCAGGCCTGTGACATTCAAGCTAACTAACCAGAGAGACATAGTGGAAACCGATTAGGGTTGCTTACCTGAATTAAACATGAACGGGGTCAGAATACCGACAGCCTCTCCCATCTCAGTCTTGATGGAGCCGTCTTGGGAGAGACCGCCTATATCCCATGGTGCCCTATATAGGAACCCTCCCAGCACAAAATTGTTTCTTCAATTTGTCGTTTTCAACAATAGCAATGGGAGGGGACATTTTGAAAGAGGTAATTGCCTCGTCGAGCATAACCCAAACGAGTCTAGCCCCCGTCCCAGTTCTTATGACGGTTAGCACTCTTTGTGCTTCTGGGAAGTTTTTTGGGGTCTTCTATATCTTTGTCTGCAAATTGTTTTATGGAGAGGAGATATTTTAAGTTCTTAATCCCGAGCTTTTTTCTGCTTGGGCAGGGGAAATGCGACATACCTTCTCTCCTGAGTTGAATATATGTTTATGTGCTTTTTTCCTTACTGTCTTGTGTGGGACTTCTTTGCCTTTTGATGGGGGTGGGGTATTTCAGGTGTTTTAGTCGGGGAGGCTTGATATAGGATTTGTCTTAAAGGGCTGGGGTCTCTAAGAGGGGTTGATGGATGGGCAGAATTTGTTTGTCTGTTGTGAATATTGGGCGGAAGATGTGAAGAGAATGTCCTTTTTCCTTGGAGAAGTCTATTTTTGACTGGGTTCTCTACTGAAAGG